ACACACACACACAAACACACACTGAGAGCCTTATATTGCGTGCACTGCAGCATTGGTTCAGGTTTTACAGACTCTTGTCATATATTTGAGGTTGAGTCTAAATTGTGATGTGAAGCTACTGTAAAGATTTTATCTTCTCCTATCTGTGAATGATTGTGACATACTATATATCTCTGGAGGTTTTTACAGGGGTTTCATATATTTGCTTGTCAGAATAAATACTTTTCTGCCCTACATCCATGTTGGAGATGGTATTGCAGTTTCAAAAATGTAGCCTGTGTGGACTGCTAATGCTGCTAACTAGTGGGGCTCACATGTGCAATCATGGGCTCTTTTTGTAAATCAAAGACATCTTTAGTGAATGTGAGGCTATAAACACCCAGCCAATAGTGTAGTCCATCATATAACGCCTTGTAAAAGGACAACTTGACATTCTGTTGTTATGGAAGGACAAACGAGATGTAATGTGTGGGCTTTAGGGTTGTTTGGCCTGAATTAGAGCCAGGTTAGTATTTCTTCTTGTGTCCAGTCTATATCCTAAGATAAGATAATCAGCCTGCTGGCTCTAGCTTGAATTAGTTCTTTGCAGAATTGAATTCAAAATATACCCCATACAAATGCTGCCATCTTGCACATTTGGAGTGAAAGTCTGCATGGGGATGGAGAAGCAGTAGCAAAGTCCCAGTCCAACCAGTACAAGACTCGACCAAGCGTGAGTCAGTCTCAGCTGTCAATCATGATGTTTCACCCTGTTTTTATAGTATCAAATAATTGAAACCAAACCTGCTGGAAAAAAGAACATTTGAACAAACATCAGTGTGATGAAAACCACCTAAAGATCACCTATAAAAATATTTTTTTTATGTGTACTTAAGTATTTAGTTTGGTCCATATCCCATCCATTAACATGGAGGTTGGGGGAATTTATGACTTATATTGCATATAGCCACCAGGTGGCGATTCATGCGCTTTAGCTTCCCTTTTAGGTACAATCATGATGTCCATCTTTATATACAGCCTATGTGCAGACATGAGTGATCTTCATCTTTTCATCAATCACATATAAGCAGAATATGAAATGTTGAGTTATTCCTTTAACCCGGGCTTATGGCTTGGAAACAGATTTAAAAAAGGGTTTTGGCAGTGAACCTCTTTACCTCTATTACCTAATGATAGATTTTCAGTTGTTGAAATTCTTTCACATCTTTTCCATTAGTGATCTTGGCAATAGATCACACTCATAGTTTTCTCTTAATGCTGCCGGGAGAGAACATGAGGTCGTGTGTGTGAGCGAAACATCTTTTCATATCCTGAGTGTGACCATTAAATATTGTTTCAATGAAACGTACGCCCACTGAGCCTGAATGATGGAGCAACGAGGAGCATTAGAAAAGCACATCTATTCAAGTACGGACCTTGGAGCGTATCATTGTGAGAGCTGTCTCCTTGTGTCTCAGTGTTCTGAGCTCACCACTGACTTATAAGATATTTTTTCTCTAACATACTAGAAATGATAAGCTTTGAGGCTGCACCGTCTTTACCTCCACCAACACTCTCTATCTTTGGCAATATTATAATGTGAACTCTGTCTTTTTTAGAGAAGTGCATCAATGTTAAAAATCTATTTCTCTATCTTGTAGTCTGTGTCTTTTCACCAACATTGTAAAAAATAAATCATTTTATATTTGTTGTGTTTTGTTTAGGTTATTCAATATTAAATACAAACTTTTAAATTTTAATTCATTTAGTGACTTATCAACTGGCACAGCATGGGGACCAGACACAACTTTGACGGATTTGTGGCTGAGAAACTGTAATT